TTTCAATATTTAGAAATATTATTTTTATTAATAACTTTTTTAAAGTACTTTTTTCTAAGGGTATGAATTTAAAAAGTATTTTAATAATATAATTATTGTTAAAATCTTATGACATACATTATCAAGTTTTTTGTGTTAAAAATGTGGAAATCCATGAAGCATTTAGCAGTGGCAACAAGTTACATCTGTTATGGTATGATTTCTTGAGTGTTTTTACAGTAGAAATATGGGAAAATAACCATAAAAAAGAGAGTAAAATAAGGTACATTGTCGACTAAAAAGAAAATTAAGGTGGTTGTGTACCTTTGAAGATGTTGAGCAACAAGTTCAGGAGAAGGGTGTTGGCCTGGTAGGACTGTGAGGTTCTTGAAGTTGAAGACCTCCATGGATGCACCTGCTACCATCTTCACTGCTAACAGACTGCATAATACCACAATGCACCTCCATTTCTGCTCCATTTTCAGAAATGAGAAGGAGGAGGAGGGGGGTAGAAAGGTAATTGAGCAGGGGGAGAATGTGGGGAGTTATCAGTCAGCCTAGCTCCAATGGTGGTGACAGGTGACTCATGGTTTATAATCAAAGTAAAAGCAAATTGGGGAAGAAGATGGGACCCCAAGGGTTTTAAAGGGTAAAAGATAAGAGTCACTTATTGTCAACTATTTATTTCTCAAACCCTAAAAACTTCTCTTTTTAAGACCATTTTGGATATTTAAAATTATATATATATATATTTTTTAAATATAATATTTAAAATAAAAACTCTAAAAAAAACTGTATTTAACTCTCATTGTTATTCTATTTTAATAATTTCACCCTTAATTATATTACTAAACTATTTTTATAAATTCATCATCACAATAAACTTTACAAAAAAGTTATAAACGAAGGAAAAAACTTATAAATCTCGAAAGTCTCTACTTCGTCGAATATTATCTATACTATATTATAAAACATTTGACAAAAACCATTTTTTATGCATGAAGTACTATATATTAATGCATATTACTTAAAATTCAAGATTACAATGAAATTATGCATAAGTACAGTTCATTAAAGTTTCATGTTTGAATTTGCGTAACTAACTGCAGATAAACATAACTAATTAGAGGATAAACATTTCATTTTAAAATATAAAAAACCTAAAATGTAATTAGAATAATTATCAAGCTCTAACAAAATAATTAATTATTTTTATAAGAAAATTATATTATTAAACCAAATATAAATTACTTTATTATTAAACCTAAATTAAATTATAATAAAAAAATTGAATTAAAAAATTACACAAAAAAAACTAAAAATTTTCAAGTTTTTTCAAAATCAAATAAAACCATAATATAACATCGATTGAGATAAATAATAAAATAAAATATTAAAATCAATATCTAAAAACTTAATATTGTTTTATCTAATTTATTTTATAAAGGTTGAATAAAATATTTAATTATTAATTGAAAAGATCATAAATTGATAGTAATACCTTAACACACACACACACACACACACGTGTGTGTTGTGTATTTGAATTAAGTTTTAGAACATGCATATTAATTGCTCTAAATGAGATATTAATTGCTCTGAATAAAATATATATATCATTTTACCAAAAATCTTAAATTTTAAGGATACAATATGCATTAGTTAAATATATTATTTATTAAGAATTAGATTTAGTTTATTTTAGATTTAAAAATAGTATGTTAACATTTTTCTTATATACATTTTTTATAACTTGTTTTACTTTTTACATTAAAAAAAACAAGGAGAGCTTAAAAGGTTTCATCAAACAATTACATATGATGTGATTTTATTAACATATGAATATTTGATATTCTATAAATTAACACATTTGGTTTAAAATATCTCACATAAACGGGGGGAAAAATCTCTGATTCCCCGTTGGGGACGTGGATGGGAATGTGCTCATATTTCCAGTTCCAGGTAGAAATGTGGACGATGACATAAACTGGGGATTGGGATTTTTGTCCCATATGCACCCTATTCTTATGCCTATTTAAGTCAAGTTGTGTTTTGAATTTCACGTAAGAGTTACTCATATACATTATTGTATTACATTGTGGTATCACATATTCTTGTAGCCACATTCGATGGCAGATCATTACAATCAACATCAATGTTCGATACTCAAGGTCGTATTTGATATAACTTGTAAGGTCTGTACTGATAATATATTTAAAGTATGAAATAAAAGGTATTAAAACATTGATTTAAAATGATGAGTAACAAACTAATATTGATGTTGGAATGTGGAGGTCCAAAAAGATCCAATAGGACCCAACATAAAGAAGGAAAAAAGGACACATGATAATGTGAAAGGGTGGTTCTCTCTTTTTATGGGGAGGTGAGACCTAAATGCCTTGTTGGAGGGCATAAAACATGCCTATCACCCTCCACTCTCTTCTTCTTCTTTTTTTTACCATTTCACATATTTTAATTTGAGTTTTTTATAGACATTATATTATTAAAATCACATAACAGATATAAACACCCTTAACAGAAACAATCAAAAGAAGGGTCCAAAAAATGACTAAAAACAACAGCTGAGGAGCCAAACAATGCAAAACAAGTGAGAAAGCTAAGAATCTACACAAAATCGAAAGTCAACAAATATTGTAATTGGATACACATGATTGAAGTAAAGGGGGTGTTTGAGATTGCTTATTTAAAACAACTTATGTTTTTTTTTTTTTTGTAAAAGTGCTTATTAACTTATGTGGTATCAAACCGGAGTTAAATAAAATAAGGTTAAAATTGTAAACTGGTAATAAACAGTTTTTCATAAGTCATGAATGATTAATTTATCAAAAACAGCTTATTACCGGTTTGACACCGGTAGAAGCAATTTTTTTTTTCTTATCCAAACACTAGAAAACAGCTCATCACCAGTGCCAGACTGAAATAAGTTTTAAAATGCATTATTGAAAAGTAGACGTTTTATGTAAAAGAGTGGTATATGAAATAAAAAAACATGGTTAAATGGATTATTGAGGGATGAAGGGGGTGAAATAAAAACTTCATAAAAATAAAAGGACGATTTATGTAAAAGAGTGTATGAAAAGGGACTAGACTTTAAATAGGACTTTAGTTTGACCGGTCACCTTGGAGGCGGCGCCTGTCAGAGGCCGGAACCCTACCGTTGGAGTAGTTATTTCACCCTCCCTGCAACCGCATGCCCACCTTGTTCACATTTTAATTTTACCAACAATTACTTATTATTATTATATTCGGTATTAAGATTGCAAGTTTAAAATCTTTTTTTCTTATATTTTATTTTATTATTATGTGATATTTACTTGTTACCAGTTTAATGAATTTATTGCAACTTACAAGTACATATAATTGTCTACAATGACGGATTCAGAAATTTTATAGATTGAGATCCCGTGAAAAATAATATTGGGGAGAGTGAAGGTAAGGTCTGTAAAAAATAAATTTTAACTTAAGTAATTTTTTTTAACTTTTTGACTGAGGTCCCTTCTTCTCCCCTGATTGTCCAGTAGTGAGTTAATGATATAAAAATGAGAATATTGAGTAAGTTTTATAAAAAAGACCTGTTTTTAAAACCTTTCAATTTATAAATAGAGATTAATTTGCAGAAACAATTTCAATCGTACAAAACTTAACTAAAGAATCCCATCAATCATGTAGCCTTGAATAAAATACATATTTTAATAAACGTATAATGTGAAAAGAAAAACAAAAGAGCAAACAAAGAAAGAGTAGACAGTAGAGTAGGGGCTACATCCAAGGAAATATAGTCAAAAGTGAACTCGTATTTTGTCAAACGGATTCTGATAGATTCACGTTATCCATAAATCCACGCCAATACAATAATAACGGAAATTTAATAAATTATATTTATTTTATAATTTTATCATATATATATATATATATATATATATTACATTTTATAAATTAAAAAATGAAAAATGATGTTTTTGTAAGAATCTCTAATGTAAAGTTTTAACTGAGGTTTGATAATGATGTGGCAAGGAAAAAAAATATGGCAAATAAGATTCTTAGAGGTTCATCATCATGGATGCTCTAAGTATCTTTAATGAAATAAAACAAATCACAACTAATAATTATTAACGAGCAATTGATAAATTTAGATGGAAAGAAAGGGCAAGGATGATTTAGAGCTTATATGGTATATCAATATAATTTCGAAGACAAACAGATTATGTCATATTAAATTAGGCTAAGGGACTGGTTGGTTCCAACTAGGGGATGAATAAAAGAACGAGAATGCAAAGTGACATTCCTTTGTTTTTTATTTTCATTGTTATTGATTAATGTTTAATACTTCAAATCAAACAGTCTCTAAATGCTGGTTACAATCATTATAGCTGAAAGTTTAGTCTTTTATCCCTTTTAATTTTAGGCTTCAAGGATGGCCATAGCATTTACTCAAACTTCAAGTACAATTATATGTATTACTATCACTATGTGAAAACAATTTTTTTTACTTGATTTTTCTCCCATTTTGATTTTATTATTATTATTATTTTTTTTAATGATTTATTTTTCTTTTCAATGTTCATTCATCTTAAAAATTGTTGTTTTTTTATCTTACTTTCAAGGCAACATATATTTATTTATTTTAAGGATCAAGGTTGATTCTATTTAGAACAATGTATTTTATTCCTCAAATCAATATAATTGACTTTTCCTTAGATCAAACCGTGTTAACGTTTTTCCTAGACCAAACAATGATTTTACGGACCTTTGATTCATCTTAAAGATGCTTCCACTCAAAGAAATCCTTGGGTCCCCCATTGGGCCTTGGTCGTGTAAGCTTCTAGATCTCGCGACCTCAAGTCATGGGAGAGGTCGTGTAGACCACCTGAGCGACCTTGGTGATTGTTTTTCCGTTACATCAAAGGAAGATAAGTGACAATCAAAAATGACGAAATGTCTAAATCCATTTTTACACTTCTCATCTTAATTTCAATTTCGATTTCGGTAGAGGGATATGATGGCTATGTAATTTATAGTAATTAACTAACGACACAATGAACATTATATAAAAATGTTGGTTCCTATCCTAGCTAGCTAACTAACCAACCATTAACCATGGTTATCATTGGAAGTAGATCCATCATTTTGACCTTGACCACTCTCCCATGATCCTCTTGGAATCCAGTGATGATTGTTGGGTTCAACCTCTTCTTCTGTTTCAATGGAGTTTGGCTTAATTCCATCAACCATCATCATCATCATCATCATCATGCTTCTCTTCTTCATAGCAAACCCCACTTCTAACTGTGTAACTACAACCAACACCATCACCATCATTACTATTTGCATCCTCAACCAATTCTTCATTATCTTACTACCTCTCTCTCTCTCTCTCTATATATATATATATATATCCCTCCCCTTTTTTTCTCTTCAGGTTTCTATCTCTCTCTCTCTCTCTACAATCTATCATTTAACTTGATGGGTTAGAGAAATTTGCTTGATGTGCTGTTTATATGTATATGTGTGTGTCTGTGTATATATATATATATACATAGAGAGAGAGAGAGAGAGAGAGAGAGATGGATGGAGAGAAAGAGAAGGAGAAGGTGGAGGGGAAAGAATAATGTAATGCTTGGGGTTTAACTATTTCCACCAAAGTGGGAGGTGATGGTAGGCAAAAACCTTTTTGCAGAGCTAAAATGGAGTTGTACATTCATTTTGCAACGATATGGAAGTACGGTTCTGCATTGGAAGTTGCACGTTAGCTTGAATTATGTGAATTTAGGTGTGGAAAGAGTTGGTGTACGTGGCAGTTGTCTGTTAAGATATTTCCTTAAAAATGTGCCACGTCACTACAAAGAATCCCATTTCAACATCATATATGATTGTTTTGAGTCGTTACATTAAACCAAACCTACCCATATAAACAAATATCAACTCACTTTATCTTGCAAATTTTTTATTAATCAATATTTAATAAAACTAGCTTATAAATTACATAGTAATTTAATATAAAATAAAATTAAAACGACATATTGAAAAATCACTTAATTTTTATGTTACGGGTGTTTGAAATTGCTTATAAAAGCTGTTTTTTAATTTATTTCAGTCTGGCACCGGTGATAAGTTGTTTTCTGGTATTTGGATAAGAAAAAAAATTGTTTATTACCATTTTACAATTTTAACCCTGTTTTATTTAACTCCGATTTGATACCACATAAGTTAATAAATACTTTTACAAAAAAAAACATAAGTTGTTTTAAATAAGCAATCCCAAACACCCCCTAAATAAATAAACAAATCATTAATAAATCAAAAGAAAAATCATGTATACCAGTATTACATAAAGAGTGTGTGATCAGATATACAAAATAAAACTTGAAAGAGTTCTACAGCTTTGTTTTAATGGTGGGTACGTGATGTGTCAAGTGTGTGAATCCATCAAACTGTGAGTTATGTGATTAGGTAAATCTATAAAAATATAAAATCTAAAGTTAAAAGTATAAAACATAAAAACTAAAAAAGTTGATTTTTGTAAAAACCTAAAAAGAAATTGAAAGAAGTAGCGTCTTGTAGAAAAACGTAAGTCGTGCTGCACCGTGGTGCACCTCAAGGCGACATGTCGTGAGTCACACCTAACACAAACGTTATCGGCTTTATCATAACGACAAGAGACGCATTTTACGCTATGGCACGCTGGTTTAGAACCCTGGTTATGATCAAGAAACATGATGGAAAAGATCGATTTTATTCTATCTCTCTTATTGCAATGTTTACTGATTGATGATACAAAGTACATATCGATCGACCTGAAGAAAGAACACAAAGCCAAAACTAGCCACTTCTATTAGTAAAGAAATGTACCGTTTTCAAGAACCGGGTAACAAGCTTTGAAGGTAGAACTCAACGTTATCGAGCCCACACAGTGTCTTCACCACAGGCATGGTCGCAGGAACATCTAACTGGATCAGTGACTCGGGACCATCATCTAACCCCTTCCAAGAACGCAGTTGGTTTCTTGCTTCTTTAATGGCGGATCTAGTTGCACAATGAACGGAAACTGCAAGAAGTAACGGTGGCTCGCCAGAAGCTGCATGTCACGAAAGCACGTATATAAAAATTTGCAAGTTGATAGATCCTTTTAAATTCTCTAATGTTATTTTGTCCACTATTGTATCTACTTGTTTGTTTCTTTTACTTTTAGTTTTGCAAGTCGAGGGTATTCATGAGAACAACCTCTCTACCCTTTGCGATAGAGGCAATGTCTTCCTACCCCTTACCCCCACCCCCACCCTACTTCGGTGTGAGATTTATAGGGTTAGTTTGGTTTATGTATACAGTGATGTTTCTTGTAATGTCTTCCAATAGACTTAAAACCCATATAAAGTGCATAGGAAAGCCATATGAGAAGCAAGTGAAGATACATTTAGAGGAGAGAACACGTTTTTTATGATGTCCGCTGTTTAGTATTTCGACGTTGAGTTGGTTGGGTATGGTGTCAATCGTCGGTATCTTGTATGTCCACGTGCCATCCACGATCACCAACCCGTCCGAGTTTGTAAGATATTCTTCAAGCATGAAAAACCCAATTCCTTGCACAAAAGCCCCTTCAATCTGTTGGAAATCAACTCATGTTTCAGCTCCTAATATGTATAATAAGAGTGTTTAACTACTAATCATTTAACTAAAATACCCCTAAGTAGGGGAATCCGGTGTACTAAGATCAATGGTTTTGGTAAAGAAGCAATTTAGAACTTGAAATTTTGCCAAAAAGATGCAGATAATTAGACATTTAAGATCATCACAAGTATCCTGAACACAAACCTGTCCTAAATCCACAGCAGGGTTCATGCTCTGCCCACAATCATATATGATATCTGATTGCAAGATTTTGGTTTCGCCAGTCAGAAGATTAACCTCCACCTGTTTTCAGACATAATTAGCATCATATAATGATATTTGATGGTCTAAAAGAGCCTTATAGGGAGAGGGGAGGTTCCTACATATATTACAGGTCTGATGGTGCGTGTCTAGCTGATGTGAGACTCCAACACGACCTCTATAACAGAGGTGAAAGAGTGTGTCAAAGTCTCGAGTCCCTAGATGTGGTAGACCCGTCTCTATACCATATTAGGATATGCAGAACCCCTTTGAATTTTTCTTTAAAATAGCCTTACAGAGAAACGGGAGGTTCCTACATATATACAGGTTTGATGTTCTGTGTCTAGCTGATTGGGACTCCAAATGAACTTATATAATGATAATGATATTGGTCAATGGAATTTACCTCAGTAACTGCAGCACCGTAATTGATGTATCTCATGGATGTAAACTCGGGTACAAAATAGGAACTAGCTGATAAGTTTACGGATTGGAAATTAGCCTGCAGAATAAGGAAGTCCCAGTTAACAGAACCTGCTTGATCTTGCAGCTTTTCCTTCAAAGGTGTGAGTCTTTCGACCAAAACTTTGCAGCAAAGTCTAATTGCTTCACAGCTTGCTTCCGATGTCGTGCTTCCAGCCGTAAACCCCCCTTGAACCATACTCAACGTGTCCGCTTGTATGACTCGAATCTTCTCCAAGAGCGCATCGTCTCCATCACATCGAACCTCACTTAGACAATATGCAGCCATCTGTTTAACCTTGGTCCACAGCCCCTGACCCAACTCGACACCACCAACTTCAACCACAATCGATCCATCCCGTAAAATACTCACTCTCCCTGGTGTCGCCCTCAATGACACCTCGTGCAAAATGGGAACTTGAGAAATACCCTTTTTTCGCCATTTATTACTCTGATTAAACTTCTTTACCTTTTCAACTCTATCGGCAAAATTTGAAGACCTCATCAACTTAGTCCATATAGTTGGCAAGGTATATTCTAACGGCTCCCCAGCACTATCATTGCCATAAAATAACCGAAGGCTGTCGAACGTATGAAAATTTGTCTCCCTGACCGAACCAACATCGATCAAAAGCACAGCCGCAACATGTTCTATCACTGCTTCAGCTATATAAGTTGCTTGCACCTCTCCTGGGCCTCGCATAGCGGATTTACTAGAATGGTTCGTTTTACAGACTTTAATGTCGAACGAAAAAGCACCCCAATCGTACTTCTTGAGTGCGCCCACCATATTCCATGGCATAATAGGGCTTATATCGGGAGCCATCCCAGCGTTGAGTAAAATATCGAGGTGTAGAGCTGTGATCTTCCCGTTAGATTTGAAGCCAACAGTGTAATTAATCTTCATCGGATGTCTTCCTCCCGCCAGTATCATATCTGTCTTCCGGTTGAGATATGTTCTCACAGGGCGACGTAATTTGTGTGCTGCAAGTGCACATGCTGCTGCAACCTATATTATCAACATACAAAGCAGAAGTTGTTGTATTGATAACTATGGGGAAGTTCAAATGAGAACCATAAATATTTACAGTTCTCTTATAAACCTACCCCTAATAACCAAAGTAACTTATGGTAAACACTTATATAGACTTGTTGGTACAAGAAACATGTTGTAATCAAACCACCAAACTGCCTTGGTTTCGGTTGGTTGGTGGTTTACATATCCAACAAACCAAGCGTGCAGGTTTGGTTGTGTATAACCGAAAAACCAACCGAAACCAAACCGTGTTCACTACGCGATAAATATGAATTGATACTCACGGGCATAGCTTTAATTGCCTTGCCACCAAAGCCGCCTCCGACCCTTCTGGTAATCACACGAACGTTATTTTCAGGAATGTTAAGACACTGTGCAATCACACTTTGTGCAAACTCCGGGACCTGAATCGAACTGTACACCACCATGCAGTTGTCTTCATCGGGGACAGCCAAAGCGGTTTGTGTCTCCATATAGAAATAGTATTGTGATCCAAGTTTAATCTGGATAGCAAGTTGAAAATAACAAATGAACAATTTAAAATGAAAAATCCTCAAGCCTCATTGTGAAAGAATGACTTCCAATCGAGAAGAACTGAAAGTGGAATGACAATTTTTCATTAGGTACCTCAGCAGAGTGGATGTGATGATCAGCTTCAGCCATTCCTTTAGAGAAATCACCAATATGTGATGGATATAGGAATGAAGGGACTTCAAAAAAACTCGATTTCTCGACAGCCTGTTCAACGGTTAATATGGGTGGTTCTAAGTCTTTAATGTCATAATCAACTATGGCCGTATCAGCTGCCACATCTGCATTCTTCTGTGTATCTGCAACCTATCAATTTCATTTCTTTCAGCATGGTGATGTGCAAGGAGGGCATGGTTTTTTAAGATTTATGAACTCAAAAGGACTTTCATCAAGACAATACAACATGAAAACTGTAAACCAAACCAAGCTAACCCAATAAATCCTATGCAGAGGTAGTGTGTTGAATAATTTTTTCAATAAAATAAAAAGGGTACTCAACCGTTTCGGATTCAAATCATTCAAAATTTATATTTTTGATATCGAAATCTAAAAGAATATCTGGAAAAGAATTGCGTCCAATAGGATTTGAACCTATACCAAAGGTTTAGAAGACCTCTGTCCTATCCATTAGACAATGGACGCTTTTCATTGCAATTTTTAGCAACCCGTCTCACATGGATAGAAAATTAGATTCTTGAGCTCTTTATAGGCTCAAACGGGTGTGCTACCAATAACTTCCACCATGGTTTTATTGATTAGGAGGTTATCAGGTGGCGTTACAGGGTCTGGGGGTTCAGATGTATGTTTGCATGAAGACCACAGGCTTGCAAAAATTAAAAGAAACAAACTAGCAGGCTACTAGTGAGAGTGTGTGCAAAGAAGCAAAGAGTACAGTAAACATGAAAAGTGTAATATGAGTAAAATACCGCAAATGCTATACGCTGACCAGAACATTGAGTAAGGTCATCAGCGAATAAAGGTTCTGGACCAAAAAAGGTCTTAGCTCCTATGTTTACCCCTCCTTTTGGAATATCGCGAAATGAGACAACAGCATGTAAATCTTTCTCGGACTTTGATTTAACACCCTTTACCCATGCCAAAGGCTTGGTGCTGTAGATGAATGCTCCATGAAGGCAGTTCAACGGTGAAGGGATGTCATCTACGAATACAGCTTCACCTGTAAGATCAAAGCCACTTCAGCTATGAGTCGGATACAACATTGTCTTGAAGTAATAAGCTAGTTATGGTTTTTTCATATGAGAACCATAAATATTATTTCATGTGTTATTCATGATGAATAACCCTAAATATTCATGAATATTGTTCATCATGAATATCATGCTTTTTCATCATCCATTATGAATAATTTTCATCATGAATAAAGCATAAATAGCTCGCAAAATATTTACAGTTATTATTTGAACCTGCCCCTAAGGTTTTTAGAATAAATGGACAAAGTCCAAAAGTGTCCTATCAATTTCCAAACAAGAATCTAGAGATGCAAAATATGTGATGATGAAAAACAAACAAGGGCCTCAAAGAGAACACTTGCGAATTAACTTAATGCTATAGAAACAAATGTAGCATTCCATCCATCATTTATAGAAAAGGGTGTTGAGAAAAGATCCTATATAACCAAAGAAAATATCAATTAAGGCAAGTAATAACAAACCAGAGGCTTGGATGGCGGCACCAGACTTTATGATCGGTTCACCAACAGGGTAATGTTCATGGCTTGATTCCACCACCTGTTTTGCAGACGACAACAATTGTGTTCTTTCACCATGATCAAATGTCACTCTTGGAGAATTATAGGTGGATTCATTAATGCAACCGCTGATATTTGAGGCACCAGCATCCACTAGCGGCAAGAGAAACTCAAACAGAAAACTAACGGCCAAGCTTGACCTATAAGTGGGATGGGATGTCCCATCTTCAGGGGAGACAGCAGCCCTCATTAATTTGAGAGCTTCATATAGCAAACCAAAGGTTAACATTTTTCCAACAAGATAATTTTCAACCGTGCTTGCCCTCACTGCATGCTTAATCCCAAAAGAACCAAGAGCTAGCTGAATGCTGTTAATTACAACGCCATTATCACATGTAGAAACGTCAGCCAAGAAAGACGCGTTTAAATAAGCTAATGCATTCCCAAGAGGACGTGGAGAAGCACGATGAGTTTCAAATACCAGTTTAGTGTTAGATTTATCCAAGTATCCATTTTTGGTTGATTTCAAGAATGGAACATGAACACTTAAAAGAACACTTCTTGAATCTAAAGCAGGCCTTGCCAGAAACTCCTCTAATGTAAGAAATTCCTTTTCTATCCCGGTCATGACAGCAACTTTTGATTTCACAGCAAGAAGTACTGTGGCAATATCTGAAGGAAACCCCTTCTGTGCCATCACCAAATTCCCACCTAAACTTGCTAAATTTCGGATGGATTCAGAAGCAATTTTCTCTAAATGGGAAGCAATTTTCTTGAACACCATTACCCCTTCTGAGCATGAGTCATCGTTTGTTTCTTCTTTTAAAGCCAAGATGAGTTTAGAGATCGTGACAGTTGCTCCAACTTCAAGATGTGATTCAACCCTTTTAATTGTAGAAAGCTCGGGGATAAACCTGAGATCAATGAACTTATCATAGTGCTCCACTTCTTTATAATAACCTATGCCTGTGTTACCGGCAACCAACTTCACCATCACATCACTTTCAGCTGAAATGGATTCCAACAGGCTCCTAAGGTCCTCCATAGCAAGTGGACTATACCAAGATCTCTTCTGATACTTCAAAAGTGGTGGGGGATTGTCTTCATTTTTCAAGAACTCGGGATAAGTACATATCTGTTTTGAATCATAAAATGGTAGTTTTTGAAGTTTGGCATCCGAAGACTTGCCCTTTTTCCAGAATGAATTAATCCCCAAATCTTCCATATCAACATCAGCTGAGAAACTTTTACAGACATCAGCAATAGGTCGATAACCAGTACAGCGGCAGAGATTCCCAGAAATTGCCTTTTCGGCTTCTGAGGCAGTGAGCTTGGATACACCAAGAGGGGCTTCTGGCCGATGGGTTTTTTCTGCATTGACAAGTGCTGAGAAGAGTGAAACACACATCCCTGGAGTACAAAAGCCGCACTGAGACGCATGAAACCCTGCAAAACGTTGGTGAATGGAATGAAATCCGTCTTTGCTGCTACCAAGCCCTTCGGTTGTAGTGATCGAACACCCATTCACACTGCAAAGAAGTGTTAGACATGAACTCACTGTATAATCTTCAACTTGTTTGAGCGTGGAGTCAAACTTGGACAGAAGAACATTACACGCACCACAACCACCTACAATTGTGAAACTCATAATATGCAAAGGGTTCAAAATTGACATGAAATAAAGGGTCAAAAACATCCCAACAAAAACCATTGCATAAATTGTATGCTTGTTGAACCATGAAACTCATTTATTTTATTGGATGTATGCTTTTAGCTAACAAGATTGATTTTCTTGAATATCTTTATGACATATCCCAGAACACAAAATCATTTCTCCATTCCCATATCGCATTGAATATGGGCCGATAGCTAGGTGGTGCTTCACTTGGTTATTTTATCAAACAGGTTGTGATCAAACCGACAACTCTTCTCCTACCTCAAATCAAACTCAAACAATTGCTCTTTGTAAGATCTTCTAAAAAATCGAATGTTTCACAAAAATTTGATTACGATCCAAGCTAAAGACCAGTCATCCTCTGTTCTTCAACTTCATTCATGTTAAATACTATGAAGGATACACGTAATCGCCATTAAAACAAAGGTTGAAAGGTACTAAATCTTCATCAACGTTTAAACTTTGCAATCTCAGCTCCAATTCAATCCGTCGACTAAACATTTACAAATTAAAATATATTCCAAAAATGCCAACAAATTTGCCCACAAAAACATAAAAAGAACAAATCAGTAGACAAGCAACCCAGGAATCGGATAGGTTAATAAAAGAGATTGCAAATCAAACCTTCACCACAACCGAGCTTAACACTCTTGAAACGAGTCTGAGAACGCAAGAACTGAAGTAGTGTAGTTGAGGGATCGACAGTAGACAGCTCAAAGCGTTCTCCATTCACAGCAAACACCAGTCTTTGATTCTGTTTGACTGTTTCTGTGGGTGTTGTAGAAGTACGTTGGGTATCTTCCATTGTTGTTCTTCCGATGAACGGTGGCTGTAGGTGGTGCAAATCCATCCACGGAAAGCGAGGAGTGTGAGAGTAAGATCCTTCCCACTTAAAGTCGTCGTCTTTTACGAATCTTGTAGTCATAAAAATTCTGTAGTCTATTACGAATCTTGTAGTCTATTTTTATGCCGTCACCCTAAGACCATCCACATCCCTGCAATCCATTTATACTTTCAATTGTGTCACATCAGCTTTTGCAATTATCTTTCACACACATGCAATTCACCTACAACACTTTCAACTGTGCCACGTCACCTACACTTTCACAAGTGGTCCCCATTACAACATTTATTAACTATTTTATAAATTATTTATATATACATTCTAATTATTTTTTAATTAATAACATGTTTTATGTATTAGTAATTTTATGTAATTATAAAATTTAATGTTTAAAATAATTTAATTTATTATATAATTAATGTAATTAAAAATATATTAACATTATTAAAATTATTAACATTAAAAATATATTAACATTATTAAAAATAGTTTATTTAAATAGTTTTGGAGGGAAGTGAGTGGGCCACGTGGCTTGCAAATTGACTTGCAAATTTTGCAAGTGAAATCCTATGTGGCACAAAATTGCATTTTTGCAATTGCTTTTGCAATTGCTTTGCAAGGAGTATATGGATGGTCTAACAACTACCACTTTTATTTATATTTTTATACCAAGTTACAGAAATTTATATTTTTCATATTATTTTATTAAAAAAATTAAAAAGATCTCCAGATTTTCAGGGTAAAACTGTTAATCTAAATATTGTTTAAATAATTTTGTTATTAAAAAATTATAATTTATAATATTATATTATAAGTTATATTAATATTTTTACACATATATAAATATACCCGTATATTATTCTATAAGTTATAGTTTATATTAATACGTATGACATTCATTAAAAATCCATAAAATTTTGATAACACTGAGAACTGATGTATCGTATGAGATTTCACATGATTTATATATATATATATATATATATATATATATATTAACATATATTTGTTTCACATATGTTTGTTTTATAATGAGAACATTTTTATGCGTTTGAAACAAGATATACAACTAAAATGTTCACATTGTGAATTTGAATTGAATACATATGAAACAAACATATTGAAAATAAATATATGTTAATCTAGATATTAAATAATAGTCTTAGATTAAAAAAAAGATCACGTAAAACAAAACCTTACAGCAATAGTTCTCACAACTATTAGTTGAAGACATTTGAACAATCCAAACCAATCTAATGCTCGCGGTTTGGAAAATCTTAACTCAACCCAAACGAAAGTGCAACCCAACCCAACCTATATGGGTTGATCGGGTTAGTCGGGTTGATACTTTGGTACATTAAAATATTCTTCTAACCTTAAATATGTTATTTCTCTACTCATAATTTATTTTTCATCATCAATCATTTATCCATACTTCTTACGTATATCTCATTGAGTTAATTTTCTCAATTTACGTATATATGTTTACAGTTACCGAACATATATACGAATGGGTTTATAGAGATGTGAATAGATTGAAAAGATGTATATGTGAAGAGCGTACGTGATAGTGTAATTGTCTAATGTATATATTAACATAAATTCAACAATCATATTAAATCCAAGAAATAAAAGGATATCGGGTTCATCGGGTTGGGTTAGGTTGGGGTTCAAATAATAGTAACTCAATATCAACTCAATACATACGATTTGAAATTTTTACAACTCGATTAAACATCGGGTTGCTTCGGATTGAGTTATTTCGCGTTGGATTGGGTTGGTCAGGTTTTTGAACACCCCTAATTACAACAATGAATTTCTCAAATGGTTAAGACCCATATACATACATGCTATATGCATAGTAATTGATAATAATCATTTTGACCGCACGGTTTCACCTCTTAGTCATTTCTCTCCAAAAATTATACAAATGTCATTACGAAACTAACTAAACAACATAAACATTACAGAGTTTTATTGCATTAAATGGTTTTTGTTTGTCTTGTCTCAAAAATTAACCACTTGTAACCACAAGGGTGGTGCTTGATTGGTTTGAGCTTGACTCTAAAGGTCAAAAATATCAGTAGGTCTCAGGTTCAAATCCAAGGATGATAAAAATCATCTTGTGGTCAAGAAGGTTCAAATACGGTGACTCCGGGCTATCTGCAAAGCAGGTGATCACCCTATAATTAATCGTCTCACATAACAAGTTGGATATTCAGGTCAATAAAAAAAATAACCACTTCAGTATTTCTCTAAAAACTTTGATCTCTTTCTTTTAATGGAATTTCAATCCCCTAAAATATAATTTTCTATTTATAGCTTTTACCACTTATCAAACATGTCACATGTGTTTTATCTTGTTATGAAACAAGAACTGCAATTCTAGGCCACGTTGCAACAATCACCGGTGTCGTGTCATTGTATTTTTTCTTTCCTTTAAAAGAAATTATCTCAAATAGCTCTTTCACCCGTTAAATTTGATTTTCTAACTATTTCTTTTATCCAAATTTTATTACGTTCGTAATATTCATGTACGTAATCCATAATATTTACCCAATGCTACTACATCTATAATATACACATCCACAATACAGCAGATCTGACTAAAAAACAAAAAAATCGAATTCCACCATGTTAGCAAGTGGGATCGTCGTAATTACGGACCTATCCGTAGTAATTGCGGACCTGGCCGCCTGAGTCTGATAATTTTTTTGTCTTTTAGCCAGATCTACAATATAGTGGACGTAGTGACATTTGAGTAAACTCGAGAGAAGAATGCATAAGAGATCAATTTGAACAGATGGAATGATTATTTGAGTCAATTTCTCTTTTTTGATCACAAACGTTTGGATTGTTTTGTGTATACTCGATTAATTCAAAAGGCATTGAATAACAATCATGAAAATTGTTAATGGTCTTGCAGGAGTTTTATATGGTATTTTAAGGAAAAGTTTAGGAAAACCAACGAACTATATCATTTTAAATGATTAAGTATTTGAATTATTTCTTTTAATGAAAAAACTATTAAACTTTTTTCATTTTAAATGATTAAGTTTCTGCACTATTCTTTTGGATTGTTGTTCTCGGAGATAGGAAGAAAGATCGTCTGCAACTTGACTAAAGGAGACAGATTCGACTTCTTGTTTACCCCTTCTGGTTTGGGGATGCGCAACATGTTCGTAGGGTTAAAAACTTGGAGGATACAGACTTCTTCATCTTGATATTGTTCTTTTGTTATTTGTTCTTTAATCGATTGGTTTGGTTACATCTGTTATTTTGCTATTTGGTTTCTGGTTAAAGATCTTGTATCTAGGTTTTTGGTTCACTTTTTTGTTTCTAAAATTTGATTTACAAATTGTTTAATATAAAAAAAGGGTAAAATAGTCATTTTCACCATTCAGATTGTTTATTCAACATAACAAACGAACAACAACTTTATCAAGTATCATATAAACAGATTTATGAATACATACATTTTTATCCATACGGGTGCGTTGGGTATATTGGACAGGGACATGACAAAACAGGACAGAGATCCATGTCCCATGTTTGGCAAGAATTTTATGTGGAACAGACAAGAACAAAGTGGAAAAAAGTGGAACAGGCCTGTTCTACCCCTATCTCATGGAACAGGGTGGAACAAGGTGGAACACACTTATATTTTTCCAATATAACATCAAAATAAAACTTAATTCTCTTCTAAAACATCAAATAGACCTCTCTTTTACATTTTATTCATTCTTTAAATTTTATTTATTGTATTTATGTTTCTTAAACTTTCATTTTACTGTCTTCAAAATATTATTTTTATACGGTTTCTATATTTTTATTAATTTATGTAATTTATTATATATTAATAATAAAAAATAATGTAGAAAAGAGATAAAAATAAAAATAGAAAACCACATAAACTTTTTATTTGGTGTCATTTTAATTGTTTTGACGAAAATTTCAAATGATATATTCTATTATAAAAAATAATTATTCTATTATAAATTAATAAATTACATAAATTGTTTTCTTGATTTTATCACTGTCGAACGTATTGCGTAAGGTTCACGCATGCAATTTGTTGTTTTCGATGAGTTTTGTATGTTTTCCCTTGATCGGAGCAGTAAATATTCGATTTTGATCTTACAGGAGTGATCACTAGCCAAATTGTTTTCTTAATGCTTATATTTTATTTACTATCTGATATTTAATCCATTTTAATTGATTGTACGCTTATTGGTAGTAGTTTTTTTTCTTAGTATGAAATGCATATAGATTTGCTTCGATAATGGATTCTTGACGCTTATATTATATTTATCTTTTTCATATATCATTAGTTGATTATGAAATCATGTATTTTTGCAAATGTATTTTTGCAAGTAGCAGTGGTTTGATGTAAGTTATACTTTGCACACTGTATTTGCTAACATTTATATTGATTATTTACTGAAAAAACACTAAACAACTCACTGGGGGTACCAAACGCTGAATAGATGTCATGTTCTGTTATATTCTGTCATGTCCTGTTCTGTTCTGTCCTGTCCTGTCCTATCTGCGTACCAAACACACCCTACATGACTTAATGAAAAATGAACCAAACAGCCCCTTAGACTCATTAGGGATCTAAAACAGTCTACGGTTTTCTATTTAATGTTTTATCATTATATAATCAATTTTACTATATCTAAAATTATAAGAAATATGGTTTATCATCAACATATTTTTTTAGACGTTTGTTTTACGACTAAGTAAATACGTAAAAAGATGGTTTAAGTCGTAAACACTCACTTTCGTGGTCAACTTAATTTATGAGGCATAACCTTTGATAGTGGACCTAGAAACTATTGTCATTGTTAAAAAAAAATACAGGAAATTGACTCAAATGACCATTTTTCACATCCAAATTGGTCTTCTAACCATTTCTCTCATAGGTTTATTCAAATGTCACTATTTCCGCAATATCTAGGTCCACAATATTAGCTAAAAGACAAAAAAAAATCCAAATCCAACACAAATCTGCAATTGCGACTGTAAACTGGTTGAATTTGGATTTTATTTTCTGTCTTTTAGCTAATATTACAGACCTAGCTAATATTGTGATCTAGATATTACGAAATCAGTGATATTTTGATAAATTTGAAAGATAAATAATCAGGAACAAATTTTAAGTATGAAAAATAGTCATTTAAGTCAATTTCTATTATTTTCTATATTAATTATAGAAAATAATTATGTATCATAATTATTGAGTTATAATGAAATTTTATAATAATAAATAAATATGTTTATTTATTATTAAATTGTGTTTTTTAGTGTTTGGTTGAAATTGATTTTTTTAATGTTAAAAAGACCCAACATTTTTAGTATTCTTTAGCGGTGTTTGTTTTTTTTTTCTCCAAAAACACGTCTTATTAAACACTTATCTCTGACTGAATAATGGGTGAGAATATAATGTAAAATGGTAAAAGTGAAAAGTTGTTATTTAAATCATAATTTCTCAAATGAAATGTATTTAGCATAAAAGCAACATCTTTCCCAAAACAATCTTTTTCGTAATGGAAACTCGGTAACAAAAATACTCATTTTAACTTGGAAAGAATATCCAATATTCACCCAAAATGTGAATAATCGTTTAACCTTTAAATACTAAAAACATGAATAAAACTTTAATATCCAAAATACATAAAAACATGGATAAAGTTCAATATACCAAAGCAATAAATCATAAATAAATAAAAACACCCCATACCCAAAATATCACCGAAAACATGGTTAATACTCAATACCAAAAACAACACTTTTCTGTGACAGGGAGACCCGGTTCCATTAAATATGGTGGAACACAAAAAAAAAAGGTCATGTATCATTATTGAACTGCACTTCAGATTTATTGACTTTAGTGCTCAATATAACAAGTGTGACCTCAAGTCCTTAATAATTTTAATGTCTATTCCGTCGAGTTTTGCCTCAAAAATATTGAATCTTAGCGTCCTTCTCTAGTTGAGTTCTAGTCTCATGGTTTCTATTCAATCTTTAGTGTCTACTCACTATTATTCAAGATAGAAACCTCAAACTTCTTACTTGACAGCACAAGCATTTAACCCTTATGCATAAGTGTTAATGCATCAAACCACAATACTCACGTGAGGACATCGAGACTCGTCACTTAAGTTTCTTTTTAATGGTTAGATTAAAGTTGTTATAAAACCAGAACCAACATGATAAACGGGTATGGCTTTGAAAAATATGGTAAAACCGAAAGGAAAATGGTGCGATAAACCACGTAGAGTAAATTACGAAGTCCATCCATGTGATTGATAGAAAGCATTGGTTTTAGTCCCTGCAATTTGGGTTTGATCTTGGACCTAACGAGAATTACATCTCTTCCATTGAGTAACCTTACGTATTCCTCAGGTGAGGGCATTTTTGTCTTTTTACCCTTCTTCCTTTCCACATTCTTCTTTCTCGACCTAAAATACTCGAGAACCATAAAATGAGAAACTAATACTCTTCAATCTTTTAAAAGAATTGCTAATATCCCACCAAATCTTATCCATAAATGATCATAATCTAACATTTATTTTACTTTATAATATGTTAGTAGATTAAATTTAGATTCAAAATGAAAGGGGGCCAATGAAGGAACTCGAGAAGTCTTTAATATCATGTAAAAATAGCAAATAACCATCCATAATGTACACAATCCGTGAATTCATAACCGTCAACCCCATCAAACGTCATTGTAAAACAAAACTGAACAATGAAGGAAGAGGATGAAGCATAAACGAAACCCAAAAACCAAAATTGAAGAATCCAAGAAAAAACATGTAAATAGGTTAAGAACCGGGACAATTGATTGCACAGTAGACTGTATATAATACAAACATACAAGTAAAAAACCCTAAGTCTAAACTAAAAGCAAGATAAATTGACTGCGACATGGAGAAGCAGATGCAGAAGCAAACCACACCGTGATTGGGAAAACAAACGAGTTATCACTTGACTTCTAGGTTGTTAAACTTCAAAAGGTTGACAGAGCGTTCGTCGTTGTGGGTAAACATGACGATTTTGGATTGGAAAGAGGAGTAAGATTTATAGAGCAATAAGAGGTGTTGATAGAAGAGCCACTTCACGTATCTGGAGTATGGAAAGGAAGAGAAACTGTAGAATGCATCGAGTAATTGAAGATGTTGTAGACCACAGTTGATGCACTATCTTTTTTACTCGATAACGTATCTAAAACCAAAACATTGTTTATGCAAGTCGTTAAAGTTTGCTTCTATTTCCTCTCATATGGATTCTAGTACTTTTTGATGTTTACGACTTCTGAAACCACCAGCACCATCCAACTTCAAAACCTATAGCGAGTTAAACATATTTTCAAATTGTAGTGTTTTACTGTTTAGGCTTTTGACTTATATTTTTTTTCTTTTTGAAATAACACATAAAGTTAATAGATTGTATACATACTTTATACGCTTATACGATAAACAATATTTCATAAAGACAACGGAAAAAAATGACAATATCCTCACGAGAGGAATACAGGTGGTCATTAACGGGACTTAGTTTACCATTGTTAAATTCTAGGACCCAGGATTTTCGTAAACCGCAAGGACAAATCTGTAATTTACTCAAAAATAAAAAAAGAAAGTGTTTTTTAACAAATCTTTTTTATTTAAATGACAAAAATAGCCTTATCCCAAAACACCGAAGGCCCATCCATGAGAAAATTGGATGGGATTTCTTATCCGATCATATTTCTTGTATTACCCTTCCCTCTTCCCATCAATATCCACCGCATCTCCACCGTCATTCCGCCACCGTCAAATGGACGCTCTCTTCGTTAACCCATCTCTCTCCGCCCTCAAACTCCCTCCTAAACTCCTTCCCACCACCTCATCACCTCTTTCCCTCTCCTTCCACCTCCGTCTTCCACCACCTCATCATCCCCTCAATCTTTCCGTCTCCGCTTCTGCCTCCGCCGTCGAAAACCACCCTCAATCCGAATCAGACCCACCTCAATTCGCCGACTATGATGAAGATGAAAGCTACGGAGAAGTCAAAACAATCATCGGGAGTAGAGCACTCGAAAACGGTGCCGGAATGGAGTATTTAATCGAATGGGAAGACGACCACGCGCCGACCTGGGTGCCAGCGAATTTAATCGCCGGTGACGTCGTCGCTGAGTACGAAAACCCATGGTGGATCGCCGCAAAGAAAGCCGACGATCGGGCGTTAAAGGAGATTATTGAGTCTGCAGACGGCAGAGACGTGGATGCTGTTGATAACGACGGCCGAACAGCTCTACTCTTCGTGGCGGGTCTCGGATCTGAATCATGTGTGAGAACGTTAGTGGAGGCTGGCGCTGATGTGAACCACCGTGATAACGGCGGAGGTTTGACGGCGTTACACATGGCGGCGGGGTACGTCCGGCCGGGGGTGGCGAAGTTGTTGGTGGAGTTTGGGGCGGATCCGGAGGCCGGAGATGATAGAGGACGGATGCCGTTAGATTTGGCCCGTGAAGTATTAAATGCAACACCTAAGGGGAACCCAGTGCAATTTGCTAGAAGATTAGGGTTAGAAAGTGTAATTAAAATTTTAGAGGGGGCAATATTCGAGTACGCGGAGGTGCAGGAGATTATGGAGAGGAGAGGGAAAGGTAATAATCTTGAGTACTTGGTCAAATGGAAGGACGGTGGAGATAATGATTGGATCAAAGCTAAGTTGATCGCGGAGGACCTGATTAAAGATTTCGAAGAAGGGCTGGAGTATGCAGTGGCAGAGGGCGTGTTAGGGCGGAGGGACGGTGATGACGGAAAAAACGAGTATTTAGTAAAATGGACCGATACTGAAGAAGCAACGTGGGAACCAGAAGAAAATGTCGATCCCGAGTTGATAAAGGAGTTTGAGAGTGGTGGTGGTGGTCAAGAAGCCGGTGTCGACTTTGCCAAGACGAGTTTATCGAGCAATGGAACCATTTGAACCTCGATTGCTTTTTGAAGAGCATTGTATTTTTGAAACTAGAATTGGAAGATTGTGGTATAGCAGTTTTAGTTGAACGTTGATGCACGAACTGTCGATTTTACTAATGAATTTGAACGTTGTAGTTATAGTTGAAGGTTGATGCAAAACGGTTGGAGATTTTTAAACAACCCAACTCAATTTTGACGACTTGAACAAATTCCAACTCAACGCAACTCTTACAACCCAACCTAACCTTTACAGGTTGGGTTGAGTTGACGGATTGTCGTCATTCTTTTATATAAGTATGTATCTTCGATTTTTTTGGTGACTTAGGATTATTGTCTATCGCTCGGCTTAATCTTATACATATAATAAATAGGTAATATGAATTAAAATATGTTTACACACCAACAACACTGATGCTTACTCAATTAACCCAATCAAAAGATATACATGTGCATATTTATATGATTATATTTTGTTTAGTCTCATCCATTTGTATGCATAACTTGATGCAATTTTTTTTGTTGCTATTAAATTTACGGTAGATATATTATAATAAAATTGGGTCTACAGGAAGTAAAAAATGTCTAAATCTTCTAATAGATTGTTATGTAAGACTTAATTTATATAACCAAATAATAAAACGTTCTATTTAAAGATTTGTGATAAGTATACAGGACTTTTTAGGCAACGTATTGTAATTTTATAAACAAATATTGTCGTATTAGCTAACATTATTTGAAAAGAAGTCTAATAAAAACAAGTGTCTTATAACAAAAATCATGACATTTTCTCAAACATGTCATGTAAAATAATTAATACGACATTTTGTAGTAAAAAGTTTCCTCAAAAACTTGTTAATACATTCAGAAACGTTTTATAAGCTTATTACAACACATTTTAGGTATGACATTTTACTGTTTGGTCCTAAAGACTTGGGTCATATTAATTTAAGTTTTATAAAGTGGTCTACTGTGACATCAAGAAGCTGTTAGCGTCCTATAAATTTGATTTTATTATATTATAGTAATTGCATGTAAATAGAGAACGAGAATTAGGCAAAAAAAAAACGAGGAAAAAGTACTCCAAAAACGAGAACGAGGCTCAAACTAGTTAAATATAAAAATAATTTTATATTTATGGTTTATATTGTATATAAATATAAATATAATTTTATCAAAATTATATATTAACAACACGTTAGGTTATGTCGAGTTAAATCAGTCCTAACCCTATTTCAACTTTATTAATTGATGGGTTAACGATTTAACAGATTGGATTTAATCAGATCATATTAGACTGTTTTTATATATCCCTAGGTTAAGGAATAAACATCTTCCATGTGCTCCACATTCGTCTCCCCTTAGACATTTTGGAGACATACATCTTTGAAATCAGTATTTTTTTTTGTTAGATTTAATTTTTTTTTATTAACCTGGATATCCAACCTGCTATGTGAGCTGACTAATTCAAGGGCGACTACCTGTTTTGCAAATAGATTGAAGTCATCGCATTTGAACATCTGTGGCCACAAGAGAATTTTTATTCCTTTTTGGATTTGAACCTGAGACCTCCTATTACTTTTGACCTTTGGAGCCACGGTCAAACCAATCAGGTACCATCCTTGTTTTGATTAATTTGTATCTTTTTGGTAGTAATAGTATTATGCTTTCTTGTAGATTTTATATTACTAAAGTTGCATATGATATATATATATATATAAAACCAAAAATATTTGTGCCAAAATAACAGATGYGAAGAAGAAGAAAAGGCCTTGTACATGTAATGGATCTTGAAGTACTATTTCTGCATCTCCTTGACCAAATCCGCCCACATTAGGATTACTTGTCAACGGTTGATCAAATTTAATAGATTCCCCTTCTGAAACAAGAAGTTCTGGCCCCGGGGGGATAATATCAACCACTTGACGTCCATCCGATGCATCCGCTATGGTTATTTCATATCCCCCCTTTTCTTTTCGTAGGATTTTGCTTGCTATACCTGATGCTGTAGCATTATAAACTGTATTGTTACTCTTGCTCCCGTCAGTATAAATCTGGCCCCTTCCCCTGTTTCCGCCTACGTATATAGGATATTTTAAGAAGTGAATCTCTTTCTTAGTAGCGGCGAAAAGCCGACATGAGATAACAAATCCAGTGTTTCACTAAGATTTCGAATAGTGGTCCCTAATTCAAGTTGATTCTATTTTGCCTCTTCTTCAGAGGAAGACGATCAAACAATTCCCAATCATGGTCCTTGCGGATCGGATCATCCTTTCTCCGGACCTCGGGGAAAAGCATGAAAAAAAAGGCTCGAATGGTATGATCCTCCGTCACCCTAGAATGAAAGGGGTGATCTCGTAGTTCTTGGTCTGTGAAGATGCGTTGTTAGGTGCTCCATTTTATTATTTATATATATATATATATATATTATTTTATAAAGCAAATTTAACAAAAGTCTTAAATCTTAAAATACTAAATGACAAAGATATTCTTTATATCACTTTTTCACCCCCTCCTCTCCTCACATACACTCACACCCTCACATACACTTAGGGGCTGTTTGGCAGTTGCTGAATGATTTAGTGCAGAATAGTTAAGAGGTCAGAATGGCTAAGAGGGTCAGAATGGTTAAGTGTTGAATGAAATATGGTTGTTTGGTAAATGTTTTCTGAATGATAACAAATTACCATTTTAACCTTCAATAATATTAAATAATTTAAATTAAATTATAAATAACAAAAATCATATATGTATATACATTCCAGTTTCATCGCCCCCTTCATCTCCTACCATCTCTCCTTCCCTCCGTCTCCGCCGCTCAGGCCTTCCCCTCCGTCTCCGCCGCTCAGGCCTTCCCCTCCGTCKCCGCCGCTCAGGCCTTCCCCTCCGTCKCCGCCGCTCAGGCCTTCCCCTCCGTCGCCGCCGCTCAGGCCTTCCGCCTYTGCCATCCCTCTCCGTCGCCAGCTTCGATCGACTGTTCCGGTGACCAACAAGAGAGGGGTGCAGGGTTCTATGATTTGATTTTTGGGTTCTATGATTTGAGACGGAGATTGAGACGGTGCAGGTGGCCGGAGATGGAGACGGTGAAGGCGGAGATGGAAGGCGACGTGAACTCGTGGAAGGCGACGTGAACTCTGGATGGAGACGGTGAAGGCGACGCTGGAAGAGAGGGGTGGGAGGGGTAATGATGGAACAAATGATGTCTGAATGGTTGAGTGAAGCACCAGGTGCAAAATGGTTAAGAGGTGTTTGTAACCATTAAGAGGTTGTTGTTTTTTTTGCCAAACACACGCAACCTCTGACCGATTCAGCGATTGGCTCTTAATGTAACCATTAAGAGCCTACCAAACAGCCCCTTACCCTCTCACAACGGGTTTTTTTAAAAATTATAATTTTAAATTTACATTTTATACTCCTATAATTAGTTAATTAATTTACTTTACATCTTTTACTTTTAAATGTTTCATTTTAAACATTTATCAAATTAATAYACATAATCGTATATCAATTAAAACATGTTTAAAAAATACATTTTTATTTTAACAAGTTACACAATTATAATCGTCTCGTTAATACCTTCGAAATGAGTCCAATATTAAATAGTTTTTGACTTAATTATATTATTATATGTTATATATACTGTGGAAAAATATTTATAATATTTACGATTTATACTTTTATAGTTATTTATTAATATATATACTATATATTTTGGGGTTAGGCTGTCCAAAGTGCACTGTATAATATGTTCTGAATTAATATGTTATTGGTTTTTTTTAAATATATATACATGTATTAATTCAACCTTAATATGAGTTTTTGGACAAGAAAGAGAGTAAGCAGTTGAAATTTTATTCTAAAACCCATCTTTTTTTGTCTTTTCATGGCTTATGATCTGTCAAATTTGTAGTTTTGTTTATTGGTTTTAAGTGTTTATCTTAAAACTCAAGTTTCTTGGTTCTTTGCTATTGGTGTAAATCGAACACATTTCTACAACCAATATAATCCAATTAATTATGATATTTATGGAAATGATGAGAGTTTATTTATTTTGATTTGAATACTTATGGAAGATGACTAGAGTTTATTAATTGTGATTAATACTTTATATTAAAAAACAATCAAAACTTTTATAAAATTACATATTCATTAAATTAAATGAACGGTTGAGATTGAGTTGTATTAGTTGTACAAATGTAAAAATGTTGCATAATAATTTCACCCCCCCTCTCTCTCTATATATATATTATTGTTTTTCTTATAGTTTTATATATAATATATTATTAATTATTCTCATCATATAAATACAAAATTTATTTTCTATTAAGATTTATAATATTTCTTTTTTATCTATTTGAACAA